AATGTATACCACTCAGGCAAACAATCCAGATCAATCCATAATAGGTGCAGGCTCTGCAATAGGAAGAAGGGTTAGCCACACACCAGAGGATATATGAATATAGTGTGTATTTATTGATCCATAGGACACACAAAACACCAGGATATGAATACAGGACCTGTTAACGCGTTTCACATGATCTTGTGCTTTTGTGTGTCCTATGGATTAATAAATACACACTATAGTCATCTATCCTCCGGTGTGTGGCTGACCCTTCTTCCTATTGCACCTTAAAAAAGCTTCCAATATTGCACTCACATTTGCAAGGTGCCTGAGCGCACCACACTTTTCCACACAGACAGTAAAGCAGTCATATGCGTTGATCGATTCTGTATTGAAATAGCTTATAGTTACCGCATGTTTAAGCCTCAAGCGGCATGATGTCAAGCCCCTCCCCTACATGTTACACCACAGGGTCACGTGGCCTCATCAGGGGGACAATCTGCAGCTGCCCTGCTGCATTGTGGACACAGGTGGCCACCCACTTGGCATGGGTGCCATTCAGAGATCATTTTGTATTTTCAATTAATGCAAATCATTCTCTGATTGGAAGAGGTGGAGAGGCAGAGAAGTCAAGTCAAGCTCCCACCTAGTCCAATCAGACAATGCTTAGCATTCATTGAGAAAATGCAAAGCATTCTCTGAATGGCACCTGCACCAAGCAGATGTGGTTTACATATATATAAGCCACATCTGGAGATATATAGTAACTTATATATGAAACCCTTTTTATTATTCATAAAAAATATGTCATCAAGTCCCACTCATGGTTTAAACCTTAAGGAATTCTTGTTTGGAATACAAAGACAGGAAGGGGCTGGAATCTGGGAGTAAGAAGAGTACATTAAATGCATTTACCTTTTATTTCCTTTAATTGTATTTTTTTTCCCCAAAATGCAATGTTTTATGAACAGTGTGTGAGGGCATCCAAATACTGTATACTGACCTTGCATTTTAGTGCAAGATCCATTTTAAGGCAACCTTTATAAAGAGAAATACTGTATGTAGGCTGCCATTGCCAACTCTTCTACTGAATATACTAGTTGCTTGGCTTCAAGCATCCTCCAGCACTTTCTGTGTCACTGACCTGGAACCCATAAGCAAATCAGGAATTCTAACCTGGCTCTGGCTAGATATTTGTTCCAGCTCTGTGACTTAGAATGTGTTGAAAACAAAGTCATCCAAGCAACTAGCAGATGGGAGTTAGTAATGGCAGCCCCCAAATTTCTCTCATTACCAGACTCATTTAAAGCAATCCTTTGTCATCAGAAAATCACATACAGTACCAAATAATCCCCCCAACCCTCTGCATAGCAATCACTCTCCAGTGCCTTTATTTACTGTTAGCACTCCTCTCTGCCTATTTAATCTATGCTGCAGCCTACATATACTCACCAGCCACTTTGTTGGGTACACCTTGGTAGTATTGAGTTGGACCTGCTTTTGCCTTCAGAACTGCCTTAATTCTTCATGGCATGGATTCAACAAGGTGTTGGAAACATTCCTCAGAGATTTTGGTTCATATTGACATGATAGCATCACACAGTTGCTGATGCAAATCTCCCGTTCCCCCACATCCCAAAGGTGCTCTATTGGATTGAGATCTGGTGACTGTGGAGGCCATTGGAGTGCAGTAAGCTCATTGTTATGTTCAAGAAACCAGTTTGAGATGATTTGAGCTTTGTGACATGGTGCATTGTCCTGCTGGAAGTAACCATCAGAAAATGGGGACACTGTACTCATAAAGGGATGGACATAGTCAGGAACAACACTCAAGTAGGCCGTGGCATTTAAACAATGCTCAATTGGTACTAAGGGGCCCAAAGTATACCAAGAAAATATCCCCCACACCATTACACCACCAGTCTCAACCGTTAATACAAGGCAGGATGGATCTATGCTTTCATGTTGTTTATGCCACATTCTGAACTTAACATCTGAATGACACAGCTGAAATCAAGACTCATTAGACCACACGTTTTTTCAATCTTCTGTTGTCCAATTTTGGTGAGCCTGTGCAAATTGTAGCCTCCGTTTCCTGTTCTTAGCTGACAGGAGTGGCACCCAGTGTGGTCTTCTGCTGCTGTAGCCCATCTGCTTCAAGGTTGGACGTGTTGTGCATTCAGAGATGGTACTCTGCATACTTTGGTTGTAACGAGTGGTTATTTGAGTTAGTGTTGCCTTTTTTCATCTCAAACCAGTCTGTCCATTCTCCTCTGACCTCTGACATCAAGAAGGCATTTTCGTCCGCACTGCTGGATATTTTCTCTTTTTTAGACCATTCTATGTAAACCCTAGAGATGGTTTTGCGTGAAAATCCCAGCAAATCAGCAGTTTTTTAAATACTCAGACCAGCCCGTCTGGCACCAACATCCATGCCACATTCAAAGTAATTTAAATCCCCTTTCTTCCCCATTCTAATGCTCGGTTTGGTCTTCAACAAGTTATCTTCACCACATCTAAATGCCTAAATGCATTGAGTTGCTGCCATGTGATTTGCTGATTAGCAATTTGTGTTACCAAGCAATTGAACAGGTGTACCTAATAAAGAGGCCGGTGAGTGTAGAGATCCTCTACAATTAAGTATGCCTGAGTGTTTCATACGGCAAAGTATTGGTATTGTCATTAAGGGCAGGGCAGATAGCGGGATTCAGAGTAGGGTGATGAATGGCCCCTTTTATGCAGAATGTGCAGTTTGGGGGTTGTTTTGTGTAAGATTTGCTTAAAATAGGTTTACATAAGCTGGGCAAGCACAAGCAACAAATTATTTAGGTGTCTGGTTTAAGGGATTGGCAAACATGTATATCAGAAGGCCTCCCAGCTTTAAAAGCAGAGACAAAATTATTAGGATAAGTACATTTTTTATGTAACAACATTCAGTTGGCTTGCTATGTCATATTTTAATGATTATATTTTATAGGTTGTTCCCTCTACTGGCCATTTATGTCAGACAATGTAGAACAGTATTGGCATCCTTGCTGACCAAACTGCTGCAGTT